GCCCGCCGGCGGCAACTCCACCCGCAACAGCGCCAGCCCTCTCTCGCGCTGTCGGGCGTCCCAGCCCGCACCCACCTTGACGTCCTCGTCCTCGTCCTCGCCTTCCCAGCGGTCTCCGCCGGCAGTGCCGCCGCCCCCCACCTTTCGCACCGGGTCTTCCACTGAGAACGTGTCCGCGTCTACGGAAAAGAGGGAGCCGCGTTAATGCCTGCCTCGGCGTGGGACCGGTGCCGGCCCGGACCCTGCCCCGGAAACTTCTGCTTACCCCAAGAGTCGGAGTCCCCCGCCGCTGCCGCCGCCGCTGCCGCCATCTCGAGCCGGGTGTGAGCGTGTGTGAGGGGGAGAGATACGAAGAGTTAGCGCGGCGGAGGTGAGTCACTGGGCTTGCTCTCGTTGGCCCGCGCGGAGCAAGCTGGGACCGTGGCTGACTGTGCGCCGGGCCGAGGCCCCGCCCCCTCTGGCGGCGCCAGCGACGCGCTCGGCGGGGAGGGGGCGTGGACCCGGGCTGGCAGAGCGTGGGTCGCGGTTCAGGGCGGGGCTGTGTGTGCTGTCTCTTGCGACGCTGGGCAGTCCTGGACACTAGTTGGGCAGGGCGACGGCGGCACCATCCTGGGTCCCTGGGAGAAGTAAGAGCGGGAAGGTTAGTAGGGCAGTCCCTTGCCTGACCCTTGGCCCTAACGCATCTTCTGCCAACCTCAACCCCGCCCCAAGGGTGCGCTCTGATCTCGGCCCAAGGCCTCTGGCGAATGCTGAATAAGTTGCCCCCCATCCTCTGCACGCTTCTCCCGGAAGGGTCTCTAAACACTCCTGCCTGTGAGGGTACTCGCGTGGCTTCCTCGGCTCCCGGTGAGCGCGGTCGCGGGCTAGTGGGGGAAGTGGGCCCCTGGGAACCGGCGTGCGTAGGGCATCGGGGAAGGAGCGAGTGGAGAGGGCAGAATTCCTGTTCCTGGCAACCTTCCAGCCTGGCGCGTGGAGCCAGCTCGAGGTTCATTTGCGTGAATTTAGTCACGGAGGGATCGAATACATCCTCAATCCTCGAAGTTGTCCCCTTCTCTGAGCCCTTAGAGGCCTGCACATTGTTTGGCAGAACAATTTCGGAAATTCTTGGTCTGTGCTAGGCATAAGCTCTAGCTTTTTCCACCAAGTAGCAAAGATAGACATGTAAACAAGTTTGGACACAGTGTGATGACTGCAACAAAAAGAAGCATTATGAGGTTAAATGCAAAAGGCTAACATTAACTACGGCAGAGGTTGTAGGAAAGGCCTCCTGAGGTAAGCTCCGGCGAAACTGGAGACTAAATGAAATGTGTGGGAGTGCATTTCCAGTAGAAAGAATGCATATAGTCAGTCCCTCACCTGACTGAGTGGCGCAATCAGTGGTAAACTGAACAGGTAAACTCATCATGAAGAACATAAAATGAGCCAAACTCCCTGTCCTTATAGCTCCCCTGCAAGGTTGACTTTTTTCTGGTGATGGTGTGTGTGGGGGGGGTTGTATTTGGGGGAGGTTTTGTTGTTGTTGTTTTATTGTTGTGGGTTTGGGTAGTGAGGATTGAATTCAGGGATTTCACTGAGCTACATTCCAGCCCTTTTTAAAAAAAATTCAGGACAGGGTCTCCATAAATTGCCCAGGCCAGCTTCCAACTTGTGATCCTCCTTTCTTAGCCTCCCAAGTAGCTGAGATTACAACCCTACCACTTCACCTGGCTCCCTGTAGGGTTTTAAGAGGCAATTAGTTGCTTTATTTTGATTTTCTTGTTGTTTTATTGTTTTCGGATATATAATGCACATACATTCAAATTACAAAAAAAGTAGACACATCAGCCACTGTATTCTTTCTAGTGGCAAACCAGTGTACCCTGTTCCTTGTATGTTTTTCCAGAGTCTACAAATAAGCACTTTATAAAGATTTTTTTTTTTTTAAAGAGAGAGACAGAGACAGAGAGAGAATTTCAATATTTATTTTTCAGTTTTCGGCGGACACATCTTTGTTTTGAATGTGGTGCAGAGGATCGAACCCGGGTCGCATGCATGCCAGGAGAGCACGCTACTGCTTGAGCCACATCTCCAGCCCCTATAAAGATGTTTTTTCAAGAGATATTCTAATGCCCATTTAAAGTGTGAGAGGCAATTACCTATTTATAATGCATCCATTTATAAAAGGTGGACTGAAAAGAGGCAAAACAGAAAGCATGGGTAGCTGGTATATAAATCTGAGGGCACAGTCTATTCATAATTGTATCTTCAGCTTTTGGCATAGTGCCTAACACAGAAATGTTTTCTGAATGAATGTGTGTATGTACCTTCCATGCTTTTGCTTCTCCAGATCAAACCCAGGGTCTCTCATATGGTAGGCAAGGGCTCTACTCCTGAGTTATACCCCATTCTGAATGAATTAATTAAATGAGAAAAATGTAAGCCTAGATTAAGACAGTGGCAATGGAAAGAAAAACCAATCAGAAATATTTAAAGGTCAGAGTCTATAGAACTTAGTGACTATAACGATTATTTTTATGTATTTTCTTGACTAGGCCATGATACCTATGTTACCCAGTCTTTAGTCAAACACTGATTGTTATGAAAATATCTGTTAGATGTGATTAATATTTAAATTAGTAGACTTTGAGTAAAGCAGATTACTCTTCATAATTTATAAGGGTCCATCCAATCAGTCCAAATTAAAAAAACTTCAGGAAGAAGGCATTCTGCCTCCAGACTGTAGTATTAAATCTCCCTTAGGTCTTTAGTCTACTTGTTTATCATGCAGATTTCAGACTTGCCAGTACCCACAACCTTAAAATAAATCTCTTTCTATTATGCACATCCTATTGATTTGTTTCTCTGGAGAATCCTAACTAGTGATTGACTGAATATGGAGGAGGAGTAGGAGACACAAGGAAAAGTTGATCTCTTTGAAAGTGAGTGATGGTGACAGTTATCTAGTTGCTCAAGTCAGAAACCTGGGAGCTATTCTTTTTTCTTCCTCTCTCTTACCCCTAAATTCCATTCATCATCAAGTCTGGATCTGTTTTCCAATATTAATCTTGGAAGATATTTTTCCCCTTGTCTCTTGCTACTACCTTAATCCAAAATTTGGTCATCCAGTTTTCATTCTTTACCTTCCACAATCTATTCACTACACACCAAGCAGTTTAATTTAATGTGTTAATCAGATAGTACCACTCCCCTCCAGTTGAAATCCTTTTAATGGCTTCTTCTATTTTTTATTTTTTTTTAAGTCCAGCTTCTTTTCAGGTCCTGCATAGACTGACTCCTACATCTCACCAACCCCTTTCCTATAATGCCTCCCCCCACACACACACACACACCACACACACACCACTTCCATTCTCTATTATTAATTCCATTTAACCTTCTAAGGCTACTAAGTTTTTTCCAGTTCAGGAGGTTTCTACATACTGTTCTTTCTGCTTACAGTGTTTATTTTCCCCCCATGCTTTGCATGGGGTCTCTTCTTTCACATCAAAACTCAAATGTTATCTCTACAGAAAGCTCTTTCCTGATCTCCCTCCTGCAAAGTATCTCCCCAGTTATTTTCTAACTCAACATTGTTTTTATCATAATATTTATCCGATATCTTGTTTATTCAGTATCTATTTGGAACACAAGTACCTTGTCTTATTTTTTACTACTGTATTACTAGTGCTTTGACACATGGTTAAATATTGATAAATTCTTTTGAAAATGGGTGAATGGTGCCTCCCTTCATAGTAAAGAATACAGGATCAATTAAGTTTGACCACACAGATCTTGACATTTTTATAGGACATCCAAAATGAAAATGTCTGATGCACTTTGGAGCTCAAGAGAACTGGACCACAGACACAGAATTAGGAGTCATATGATTATTGTGGTTGGTAAAATGATGTGAAAATTGAAGTTATCTGAATATGGCATAGATTGAAAAAATATTGAAGGACATCAACATTTAAGGAGCAATCAGAAGAAAAAGATATAGGGAGGACAGTAAATATTTTAAAATTATTGTTGTATTCTTCCAGTACCATCATGTGTATATGTGTGTGGAAAACAAATGTGTATGTGTTATTTTAAAATAATGTGGGACTTGGTATATTAAAAAATTCACTATATAGAAGTCAGAAGACCTTCTTCTAGTCATTCAAATGATAAGATTTTATTGAGCTGCATACTTCTAGTGTGTATATGGTGGGGAAGGGCTTACAGTCTTTTCCTCTTTTTCTGGAAATTGCCCTAGTTAGTATACAAGAGTGGGTGTGCTCTCCAAAGCCATGTCTTGTGGCTTACCATAGTGACTTACCACAGCTGATCTAGAGATTAATTAACTATTAAGCTAATGAATATTTAGTTTCAGGACCCCTTATTGCATGGGCCCATATTATTTTCAAAGGAAGCCCTCCAAATTGTATGTACTGCAAGATATATAATCTGGATCTGCCCCTACATGGGATACATAGGCCACTAGAATAATTAAATTATTATTATTATTATTATTATTATTATTATTAT